AGAAGGGGAGATAGATCGGTCTTACCTCCACAGATCAGCTCCCGCCGGTAATTGAGGTGGAGACCCGAACCGCCTGCGAAGCGTCGCACCTGGAGGCTGCCGATGCCAACCGAGCCCTCTCTACCGCCGATCGACCGAACCCCGCCGCGAAACACCAAGGCTTAATCGGGGCCACACTTACCAGGGGAGGGCCAGGCGGTCAAGGACGACCCCTGGCCGTGGCGTTGCCGTCGATGGGAGAGACGAAGCCGACGATTTGCCGAGAGGCGAGAGTGGATTGATTTTGGGGGTAGGGTTAGAGAATTCGCTGTGAGTTAGGGCAGATGTGTAATTTATAAAAGTTATATAAAAAACTATTGGGTTTATTGTTTTATACATATATTTATAAAATGCTAAACGAACATAATAACATATAAAATACATCACGTGCAACCAAAAAATAATAAAAAATTAAACAAATATATTAAAATATTGAATATATTTTTATAATATAATTAATAAATATATTTCAAAATTTTCAATAATAAGTTTAAATTAGAAATTTAGGGTTTTATCGATTTTTTTTTTTTTTTTTTTNTTTTTTTTTTGAATTAGATAGTGTTAAAGGACAATTTTGTTAGGGTGATCATATAAAATAATGCACTTCATATAAAATAATGCACTTTGTATATGACCATGTTGCACCTTATAATTCAACATGTTGCACTTTATAAAAAATCATGTTGCACTTTATCATCACAATCCACAATTAACGTCCGCAGCTTCTACCGTAATATCAAACAACAGAAAATCTAAAAAACGGATATACATAATATTTTAATATAATCACGTCATTTATACACCCAAAGTACCATAATTACTATATCACTATATACATCAACACATTGTACTTTATTAAAACAACACGTTGCACTTTATAAAACAATACGTTGCACTTTATCGCGACTATCAGATTTCACATTAGAGATCGAAACATATCGGGCTAAATTTTTTTCATCTAAAAATAAGAAATAAAATTATTAATATATTAAATGTAATTTTAATATAAATAACAAATTATTTAAAGTATATAGGATAATTTAGTTAACCATACCAAATATATCACAGTTAATTATTCAGTTTGACATGGGACATGAGTCCAATTGGTTGAATCGCACAACACAGACAGGCTTTGTGCACCATATTGTTGTACGAGTTACACCTTAATTACAGTTAGATTGCACAGTATATTTTGTTTACATATGTATATATTTTGTTTAATTAAAAAATAATATAGAATATCAAATAAATAAATATTAAATACTAATCATAATTTTTAATAATTAATAATATGAATCAATTAAACCAATAAATTAAAAATATGTGTATCAGTAAAAATATAACTGGGTTTTTGATGTCCATGTTTCCACATAATAATGTGCATTTTATACATAATTGTTGTGCCTTTAGTTGACTTTTACTAAATTATAAAATTGACTCACATACTAAAATATAACTAGTACGTACCCCGTGCGATGCATGGGACAAAAATATTAAATGTGTTATCTCATATGCTTTGTTCGTTTAAGTATATAAAGCAATAGGATTATCATCTATTTTTCATCTCTTTTAATCAGCTTTAAGTATAATAAACAATAAGGTTATAATATATTTTGCACCTCTTTTAATCAACGTTATTTTTTTAGTCAAAATATTAAAATAATTAATATATTATTTCACTAACACATTTATTCTAATTTAAATTTGATTTTAATATATATATATGTATTTCTTGATACAAGAGAGAATAACAATTTCACTTATTCTTGTTCACCATATAATACTTAATTATTATTTTATTATACACTTTATGTCATATAATGTCATTATTATTTATAAATTTATAAAAGTTGTACGTCTTCTTTATATTTTTGTTTTATGTAATGAAAAATATTTAATTCACGTTTGCATTATTTATTTATGTAATCAATTTAAAATATGTAAATAAATTTAATATTAAATAGTGTATAAAATTTTACAAAATATACACATGTTTTTTTAGAATTTAATTTTATATACTAATTAAACAACTTTGATTTAGAAAATCCTAAAAACTCGATCCGCTATATGATCAAGATTTTTCTAGTTCGCATTATAAGGATTTATGGTTTATTTAGCATACTCAACAATGAAAATATATTTTACAAGAATTTAAATATAGAAATAAATCAAAAAAAAAATGAAAAAATATAGTCATGAGTGCCAATATTATACAAATAAATGCTAAACAATAGTTAAATGTTTCAGTCTTAATTTTTTACCATTAGTAAAACTATTTATTGTATTTGGTCATTATCTCTTAAATGGTAAATTATATTAAATTGAAGAACAATTTATTTTTTATATTTAACAAAATAAAGCTTAAGAAACAAATATATTGACAAATATTAATTCACCAATTTGATTTTGTCTGATTACTTGGAAAAAAATCTAGCTAATATGTTACGATTTTTCATAAAAATTTTTTGGATAAAAAGTGAATATTTGTGAAAAAAACTAATATTATAATGAATATCAATGAAAGTATTACAAATATTAATAAAATAATATTTGTTTTGACCAAAATATTATCAACATGAATCACGAAAATAAATATTGTAATTTATTATAATAATTATAAATGAAAATACTGCAGATAATAATAATTTATTTAAGTAATTATTTGATCTTATTTGAGAACGTGTAAATAGAAACAATTAATGCATATGTAGAAAAATTCCAAAAATAGCATGCATTAAATATTTCCTAAATTTTTGCTACTATTTTTAATAAATGGTAATTCTTTATATATATATATAGATATATTAAAACTTGTGAAATTGCAAATAAGTCCCTATATTTTATTAAATTCTCATTACAAAGTCCCTATGCTTAACATTGCTTCTGGTGCTCCTTCTCCGACAGCACGCCGTCGTTGGACGGCGGAGATGGCGGCAATGGTGGGCTGAAGCGTAAGCCTCGCCTGAACCAGTCCAAAAAATAAAAAATAAAAAAAAATACACACACACACATAGAAAACATTCCGGCCATGGTGTATATATCAGTCGGCATCGACGACGGCGTGGTGGAGGGATATATGTTCCGCCGGAGCATTTTGTGACACAGTCATCTCCGGTGCCATTCTTAGGAGACTGGGCAACTCATTTGGTGACGACTGACGGCGGCTGCCTGCGGGATGTCGGGAGTCGGGATTGTCGGCGATGGCGGCAAATGGAGTGGCGGGGATCTGCTGCGGCAGGCGATGTTCAGCGGCGGCAAATGGGAAGTGCGTGTATGTGTGTGTGCGGGGAGGGGCGTGTGTGTGTTTTTTTACTGTAAATATGAGAGAGAGAGAGAGAGTGTGTGTTGTGTGCATTAATCGTGGGCCCCGTCTGATTAATATGTTTATATATGTAATGACTAATTTGTCCTTACTTAATAGTCAAATATGTATTTTGACCACAATTTATGTTAACTTACCATATTGTCATTAATGATTGACCAAAGTTTTGACTTTATCTTAACCATTGATATGTATGATCTAATGGTCTACAATTATTCTTATTTCTTTTACTATCAATCATTCTCATATGATCCCTTCTCATTAATATATATATATATGATCCCTTCTCATTTGTGGAGGATGAGTACTAATTTGATACTTTGATGTAAAAATGTGGAAGGTGTGGGATATTTATAGATTCTTTTTCTTTTTTTTTTTTTATTTTGGAATTGTCGGGTTCAAGGCTGAACTAGAGGTTCAAACGGTTCAAAGAGAAACCGACTGTCAATTTTAAAAATCTGATAGAGGGGTCTTAACGGTTCTAGGCCCGACCCAACTCGGAATTGACAAAAAATCATTATTTCCTTTTGAAAAATATTAATTTTAAAAAATTATCAAAATTTCACCTGGTTGGTTACGATTCGAAATCGATGATTCAAATTTATTTATTTTTTTTTTCAAAATTAAAATCACGAACCGACTAATCAAAGCATGAGCCAATTTAAGGCCAGTGGTCAACGGGTTAGGCACATTCCGTTGACTCCTGTGTTGGGTCGGGCAAGGCCGATTCAGTTTCGACCGAGCGATGGTCACGTCTAGTCCCAAATAGTTAATATAAGTAGTGTTGTAAAAATAGTTAATATAAGTAGTGTTGTAATCGAACTGAACGTTTGCGGACAAAATCTCATTTGTATTTGACAAAAGCTCGTTCGTTTGTTAATCGAGCTTTCTTATTCGAGCTGAGTTCGAACAAAAAATAGTCTCGCTTAGTAATCAAACGAACACGAGCTCATTCACGAACGTTCAATAATGTTCGAGAACATAAATTTTAATATAATTTTATTTTATTTTTATATATTTACATAATATTTTTAATAAAAAATCTAAAATATAAAAATAGTTTCATTTTTTTTTTTTCGAGTTCGAACGACTTCAAACAAACAAATATCGAAACATACATAGAAAGTTTATATCCTCAATTATTCGAACACGAACTAACTCGAACTATACGAACAATTAAACAATGAGTTCAAACATGATTTTTTGCTCAGAAAAAAAAAAAAAAAAAATACAAACATTGTTCAAACATAAACGAACACGAGCTCGAAACGCATAAACTCGGCTCGTTTGTTTCGATTACAACACTAAAATAAATGCAAGTAATCCTGTGCATTTTTTAAAATTCATTCAATAAATATTAAAACGTACAAATTAATATAAATAGCAGAGGTTTCGCGCAATAAACCTTCATCGTTTCCTCCCAGCCCTAATTTTGCAACAAGCGCCCCTGCCATTAAAGCTCTGTCTTACGAAGCAGGAAAACTCGGCCACCCACTCCGCAAATCCCAAATCAGCCCCAAATTGGCAAATACACCACTCTGCCTTCTAATTTCGATCCCGTTGTTTCGAATTCGTGGCCATGTGCCGCGAATTTCTGTGGCCCCAACCTCCCAATACAAAATTATAGGGTTTTGAAGTGATGATGGCCAGGCGGCGGCGCGGCGAGTTTTTCTTTGCAGAGCCCATAATCCATCGCATTCAATATTTTCTCAATGGAAAAGAAGCTGCCCAAACAACTGTCCTGTCTAAATCTTGGCGCCAAGCCTGGCTCAATCGCCCCAACTTGGACTTTGATATTTGCTACTTTTCCTCCGTTGATAAATTCTTGAAGCTTATGGGCAAGGCTATTCAAAGGTATGAAGAATCCAACCTAAATATTGAGAGTTTCAGTCTAACAATGGATATGTTGAATAATTCATGTGAAAATCTGATTATTAAAGCATTGGGAATGGGTGTTCCTCGTCTTAGCCTTCAACTTTCGGCTGCACCTTCCTGTTCTGTTGTGCCGGCTGAGGTGTTTGGATGCAAAGACCTTGTGAAACTATCTCTGACTGGGGGCAAAATCGCCCTTGCTCCCGAGCATCAAGTACATCTTCCGAGGCTCAAATCCCTTAGTTTAAGTTGTGTTAGGCTAGAAAGTGATGAAGTGATTTCTGGCTTACTTTCGGGCTGTTCCTTGCTCGAAAAACTGTCACTCGCATTGTTATTCGATGTTACCATAAGTATTCTTCCTAACTTGCCAAAGCTAAGGCATCTGGAGCTGAGACATCTGACAATTAACACCTCGTTTTTGGGTGACTTATCTTGTAAATTCCCTTTGCTGAGAGAGTTATCCATCCATCACTGCTCTTTCCAAGGGGATTATTTACTCATATCTTGCCCGACAATCGAGTGTCTAAACATCACAAATAGGTTTGCGAAGACAGCAAGTGTCGAGTTTGATGTTCCAAGTATTCGTAAGTTTAAGTTTAGAAGCTGGGAGAATCTGCCATCTTCTCTGACTTTCAAATCAACAAGTTTTAGAGAATGGGAGTCTCATTTATCCATAACGTCGCATTGTTGTGTTGGTAATCTAGGGGTCATTGGGTTGAACAAATTATTAACCAGTTTGGGACAGTCCAAAATTCATCTTCGGATAGAAGTGGTCGACATACATAGCTTCAATTATGACGTTTGGGAGTTCAATGGCTTGAAACTGCACAAAGTCGAGGAGTTGACGATAGATGGCATGCACTCCAACATTCTATCTTTGACTAGTTTTGCTCTTTTTAATGGTTTGTTTCGATTGTGCCGCCCAAAGTTCATCACTCAGCAGAATAAGACTCCTTCTCCGAGCGATTTCCTTTTTAAGATGTTTCTCAGACACGGAATAAATCACGAATGCTCGGCTAGGAGCCTTTGTATGTATGCTCTGCGGCATCTTGAGGAAGTAAGAGCTCAGATTTTTGATTTAGATGTTGACACTTGGCGGTTTATCCCAATGGATACTTGGGATGCTTTAAAAGACCAAAAGAAAATTCGGTTCCAGCTGATGTGGAGAGATGAAAGCCAGCAGGTTAATTAATATTAATGTTATTGTGCCTTTCATTGATCTTGTTATTTCATTTGCTTCTTCTCATCTTTCCTGCTCAATTCAATAAAAAAAGTTAGGTTCTGCAACTATTTAAAGAGTTCCTATTTGAAATAGTTAAACAAAAAAGGACCTACTCGGTAGGTACAACGGTCGCTTCATGGTCGACCGATCTTATTACAAATTTTATTATATTTTTTTTGTTATAATAGGAGTTCGATTATCTGTCCAAAGTCCAAACTCTATGACTCAAACAATGAGGATGATCAAGTAACCTATTTATTTTTTTATTTAATTTATAATTTTGTAAAATCTTAGCATTATATATTTTTTAGGACTCCTCCGCCGAAGGTGAAGTTAACACTCCTGTGAAAAAAATGAAGTGTGAAGAAATATTTCAACCAAAAAAGTGAAGAGGAAGTTGTTCGATGGTGACACAAGATGCACCAAAAAGGTTAAAGAGAGACAAATTTTTTTTGAAGAAGGATCGGGAGAAGTAGATGAATGAGTGAGATTTGGTTGTCTTATTTGAATGATGAATTTGGTAGTTATTTTCTTATTCGTTTTATATTATATGTTTCACTTTTTAAAAAATATTCACTAATAATTCATACTAGTACGATACACGGGTACTTGAAAAGAATTGATACTTTTATAAGAAAAAAATAAAGTAACTATATTCTTATTGGTAAATTATAAAAAATAAAGGCTAAAAAAGTGATATTATTTTACTTCAAACTGTGTTCTACACTTGATTTGTTAAAAATAATAGTTGTTAATTATATTTATTAAATTATATATGTCTAAAGCAAATGATATCGTAGACCATAAATTTGAATTTAAATTTTATAGTTTGCTTAAAAGCCTTATTATATTGTAATGATTGATTTTTTATATATTAATTTTTAAGTATATTAAAATTTATAATATTTGATTATTTAAAATATAAATTAATATATACAAAAACTTATGAAATAAATATATATTTTTATTTTTGATTATGGTATTCATTCGTATTATTATTTACAGCATCATAATAACATCCAGACTTTATGTAAACTTTATTTAAGTCGAGACATAATTTTTCGGATATTTTTCGTATTCATTTTTCATTGATATTCAATTTCTACATTTTTTCACAATCTATAAAAACAATATACTAAAATGGTTGTTTATGGCATAAATTTAATTTTTGTTATTTTATGGACTATAGTTTTATTTCATATTTCTCATTTGGTATGATAAATAAATTTTAAGTTAATTTATAAAGACATGTGGAATTATTTTTATATTATATATGCAATATGGATATCAAAGTAAAAATTGTTGAAGATGGTATTTTGATATATCATATATAAAAAAATATACAAATAAAAAGTTAACTATTTTAAAATAAGGAGAATATATATTTAAAATAATTAATATATGAAAAAAATAAGAAAAGGAAATGTAGTGTGTGGTAACTAATAAAAATGAAATATAATATATAGTAATTTAAGCAAAAAAAAATAGGTAAAATAATTTATGGTAATTCTCGGACCTAGTTGTTAAACCAAGTCTGTACATGTATCAATACGAAGCACATATTTGTGTCAAATAAGCTCCTGAAGCATGCGAACCTGTCATTTAGACTCAGCACATTCGAGAATTATATATAGGGGCAATTTTTTATTACTGAAATATAACTTACGATTTCAAATGATTTGAGTACTAAAAAATATTAAAAATAATGCATAAAAACACCAAACCTCAAAGCAACACATTCTATGAAAATAAAAATTTCAGAATATAGAAAATGCCATTTTCAGTCAAAGATACATGTCATTGAATAATAGAATTCGTAATTTAGAAAATGCTATATTGAGTAATTGTTTTTTCAATCTCCTAAATATATATATATATATTTTCAATCTCCTAAGGGCTCGTTTACTAGCGCGGACGGGATATGATAAGGTTGGTTAACCAACCTTATCATCCGTTTACTAGGCTGGGAAGGGATACGGATTGTGCATACGTGGCGCGCGGTTGGAATGTCCGTCAGCTGACGTGCGGTGTTAATTTTGTCCGCCGATTTTGGGCGGACAAAACAATCCCCTTTTCATCCTTCCCATTTTAATCTCAATATTCCACTTGAAAAGTCTATTTTGCTACTAATTGTCATCAAAATTACAGATATAGCCAGATATATACTTTTCTGTTGTCCGAAACCCTCGTCTCGCCAATTCATGCCTTCTGCCCTAATCTCGTCGTCTCCGCCGTAAACCGTCCTCTTCTGCATCTTCAATCGAGTTTCTTCGCATATATTTTTTTTTTTCATCAGTTCTCACCGTTAATCTCACTTTCACTCGCAGATGTCACTTGGTTCGCGTTGCTCGACGGTTGGTTGGACATGAATTCGACTACCAATTCATCGATTCCTTCTGCGATTTATACAATTTTTTTTTTCTTTCGTTGCTGATGTTTGCAATAGGGTTAAACAATTTCGTTGTTTTCTAGGTCTCAGTTGTGACGTGTTCGTCGGGCTTCAACTCCGCCGCAAGAATTTACGGTTCTGGGTATGTTAATGAAAATTATTGTGTGTTTAATTTTATTTGTCGTGTCTCTGTGTGATAATCAGTTGTATTTATATGCTGTTGTAAATTAATCGATTTTTGTTCTACTTACCTGAACGTTTCAATCGACCCACCACCATTATATCGCCATTGATATGTCCGAATCGAAAATG